AAAAACGGAGCTGAGGCAGCACGGGCTCTGTGGCCTCAAAGAGCTTCCCACAAAACGGTTCCCAAAGTCAGGCCATCCTGGTCAAAATCTGACCCCCAACTCTCCCACACACACACCCCACCAATAGGAAAGCAAGGGAGAGGCGCTGTAGGGGACACACAAGGAGGTTTGGCTGCCGTCCGCGCACCCCTAGAGGCCGCTGTGGCACCCACGTACCTGTGCGCAAGCCACCTGGGGGCACGACCCCGTGCTCCCCCGGGGCAATGGTAGGGGCAGGGGCGGGGCAGTGGCAGGGGCAGGGGCGCGGCGCAGGGGGGTGGGCGGCCTGAGGAGCAGAGGGAGGGCGGCTGCGCATGTCCACTCCCCCACTCACCGCCGGGGGGCCCCGGGGAGCAAGCGTAGCCCCCTGCCAGGCCTGTCAGAGCGTCCCAGCGCGCCTGCCTCCCCACGGACACAGGTGAGCGAGGCACCCGTGCCCCCGGCCCCGCCAGGCCTGGGGGTATCCCCGCGCCGGCTTTAGGGGACCCTCCCCCAAGCGCCAAGCCTTCTCCCGGGCGAGCGGTCCCTCACCCGGCCTGCCGGGAGGGGTGTTGGCGCTGGGCTGGAAGAGGGGCCGCCTCACCCGGAGTCGGAGTGGGTCTTGACAGGATGCCTGGGCGACACTGCTCACACGGAGTCCGAAGTGCAGCCCTGGTTTCGGGGACCCCTCCGTACTCCGAGCTTTGCACCTCACCCGGCCTCGTCCGGGAAAGCGCGACCTGGCGAGGCTGCCCTGACCCCAGATCCCGGCTCCTCAGTGCGCCGGCCTCGGTGAGCTGGACGAAGCCCCCCAACCTGGTCCCGGCGGCTCTGAGCGCGCAGCCACCGCCAGGAGCCCAGGGGACCCACCGGGGGCTCCGCGCCACTTGAGAGGACCAAGCCCCCCATCCCCGGCGCCTCCCGCGGGCTGAGACCCCGGGCCAGTGCCCTTGGCACGTGCCTCTGCGCCTCGTGGCTCCTCCCCGGAGTGGGGCCGTGAGGACCGGGGCCGCGGCCTCCCTGCGCGTCGAGGGAACTGGGCGAGTGTGGCCCGGTCCCGCCAGGCAGCTGGGGTGGGAGCTGCGCTCGGCCACTCGGCCAGTCCCCGGGCTCCCCTTCCTCACCGTCGGCGCCCCCAGACTCCAGCCGCTTGGACTCCGACTTAAGAGGCAGCCTCGACCCCGCCTCTGCCTTCTGACCCATCCCTAAAGATGGCCGGGAACCCCTACAGGACCCCCAGAAGCCGACCTCTCCCTCCACGTGCGCCACCGCCTCGCCCCTCCCCGCAGTCCTCCAGGTCTTCTTCCTGTCCCCAACGGTCTGGGACCCCCAAGCTCCATCCTCCGCTTCCTGCTCTCTTCATCCCGCCCCCGCTCCTTCTGGGCCAGCGCCTCCAGTGACTATTCCCAGGGATCCCTCAGAGCTGAGGACGCCGAGGCCACATCCCCATTTGGGACCTTGCCCCGACCCCGACCTCCGGATCTCCAACTCCACCAAACCTCGAAGCCACCATCTGCCCCCAAACTGTCGCTGCTCCAGGCTTTCGGAGGGGAGTCGTGGCAACAGCCATTAGGATGCACTAAGCGGGGCACTTCCTGAGCCCAAGGACACCGAGGGGCATTCACTGAGTGAATGGGGATGTGCTGCTAATAACTAACACTAATTGACCACCTGCCGTGTGCCCATCCTCTTCGAACATGCAACTTCCTTGTTCCTTATCTTGTTATTGTCTCTTTCTCTCTGCCAGAATCTAATCCTCACAAGGGCAGGGACTGGGGTCTGTTTTGTTAACTGCCACACTACAATGCCTGGCACGAAGGAAGATTCTTGAATTAATGAATGGAGATTAAATTATAATTTAAAAGCCTGGCACGAACTAAGCACCTTCTGCATGCTTATCACCTGCTACTGACATATAGTTCGCTTTTTTTTTTTTTTTTGAGATGAAGTTTTGCTCTTGTCCCCCAGGCTGGAGTGCAGTGGTGAGATCTCACCTCACTGCAAGCTCCGCCTCCCGGGTTCACGCCATTCTCCTGCCTCACCCTCC